GGGGACGCGTGATTGGGGGGAGAGGGGCAGGAGGGGGGCGAGGGCATGAGGAACGGCAGGGGGTGGTTGAAGGGGACAGAGCATGGGGCCCGTAATGCAGAAGGGGGCGCCTGCGGCTGCGATGCCCCGCCAAGGAGCGGCGCGCAGGCGGCCGCACCGGGGCCGGCAGGGGCGACGAGGGCGGCGGGTGCGGCCGCACACGCGCATGGGCACGCGGGAGAGGGTAGACGGGACGGGCAGCGCGATGCGGGACGACGCGCGCGATCTGGGGCGGCCCCCCACCTCGGCCACGTTCAGCCACAACATGAGCGCCTGCCACGCGCTCGCCAGCGCGTCGGACGCCTCGGCCACCTGCGCCGGCCACACAAGCGGGGCGTCGAGCGCGGCCTCGCAGGCGTCCAGGAGGTCGGGGGGCGGCTGCGTGCGCGAGAGGGCGCCGACCCTCAGGGTCAGGGCGCGCAGGGAGTCCTCTGAGTGGGTCTGCGGGTGCACAGGGTTGTGTGACGGTGGCTGGGTAAGCTGAGGTGTGTGCGTGCATGCGTGCGTGCGTGCGTGAGTGTGTGTGCATGCAATGCTTGTCCGTGTCCGAGCCCATGCCGTGTCCGGGCCCGCGGCCGCTTCAAGACCGCAACCAAGGACAGACACGCTGTGGCCGCACTCGCAGTCGAGGCTTACAATGCGGGCAGCCCCGGCCACACCAGCAGCGCCTCACCCATAGCGCATCCTGGGCCTTGACGCTCTTCACGCAGTGCCTGTGCACCGCCTCAAGCTCTGACAGCAGGCCCAGCGCCGCCGACGCGTACGCCGCAATGTCCGCCGCAGACGTTGGCTCGTGGGGCCCACAGTACTCGGCTGACACCAGGCCGGCCCCACCGCTGCCGCCGCCGCCGCCGCCGCCGTTGGACCGCCGCCGAGCCGAGCCTTTTGCGGCTGCAGTCCCGCCACTTTGTTGCTGGGAAGGCTGTTGACTGCTGGGCTCGGCCCCCCACTCAGCCAGCTCTGACAGCCGCCGCCGCCCCTCCCCGGACAGCTCGTCCCCCAGCCCCAGCGCCGCCGCGGTCGCGGCCGCGCGCTGCGCGGCGCCACCGCACCACGCCCGCGCGGCGGCGGAGAGCGCCGCGCCGCCGTCGGCGGCGACGAACAGGCGCAGGGCGGCTTTCTGCGCGAACATCTCCCTGTCCCTTCGGGACTCGTACCTCTGCGCCTCCCCCACACGCTGCTCTTGCTGCTGCGGTTGCTGCTGCTGCTGCTGCTGCTGCTGCTGCTGCTGCTGCTGCTGCTGCTGCCGGCCTCGACGCCCCGGGAGGGGTGCAGCCCCATCCCCTCCGCCCAGGCGACAGCTGACGCTGCCGCCGGCCGTGGCATCGGCCGAGCCCAGGCCCTCTGCGCCAAGGGCCCATAGAAAAGGAAGGCGGCAGAGTGTCCGGGCCCAGGCGCGGCTGCGTGCCTGGAGGAAGCACGCGGCGCTTTGAATCTGTGCGGGTGGATTTGCATCGCGCGGGGCGGTCAGGGGCGGGGTGGCATTGTGTGGGGCGCTTTGAGATGGGGACTTGTGGGCATGCGAAATCGGAAATCACTGGTACGGGTAGGCACATGTACATGCACACGGACACGCGCACGCACGCACGCACGCACGCACGCACACACACACACACACACACACACACACACACACATACACACGCACGCACACGCTTGCACAAGCACGCGACGCGTACACACACAAGCCTGCCCACGCACACAAGCACGCAAGCACGCTCATTTGTGCCCAAGCCGATGCCGCTGCATTGCATGCAGCCGATGCATTCCTGACCCTAAGCAACGCGAATGACCAGCTGCGCCGGGACCCAAACCTCCACCCCGGCCGCCGCCGCGCCCCGCCCCGCCCCCGCTCGCGCGGGCCGACCCACGTCGGACGCCGCCGCCACCATGCAGGTGTGAATCCACGCGGCGTCCTCCATCCAGCGCATCAGCTCCTCCGCCGGCTGCGCGGAGCGCCTCACAGGCGGCCGCGCCGCTGCCGCCTGCGAGGCGAAGAACAGGACGTCTTCGAACCCGGCGTACAGCTCGGCCGCAACGTCATACACGCCTTGCAGCGGCTCCCGGCTGCGCCACCGCGCCGCGGCGGCGCCCTGCCGCGCCAGCACCTCGTCGATGCAGTGCTCGACGACCCCCCGCGCCGCCGCCCGCGCCCCGCCGCCCCCCGCGCCGCCGGCCGGCGCGCACCACGCGCACAGCCACAGCACGGCCGCGGCGGCGCCCGCGTACGCCACGGCCGGCCCGCAGGGGTGGGGCCCGTCGGGGAGGGGCGGCGCGAGGGCCGGCCAGTCGGTCGGGGTGTAGCCGTCCTCCTGGGCCAGCAGGCGCGCGGCCTCGCGGCGCTGCTCGTGCTGCTCCGCGCGCATGGTTTGCCTGCAGCTCGACTCGCTAGAGCTGATGCTCGACAACGAGCTTGGGCCGCGGCGGCCCGGGCCCCACAAGGCCCCCGCGTCGTAGCGCACCCGCCGCCCGTCGGGCTGGCGCCCGGCTTCCTCGCCCGCTGCCCATCCACGGCCGCCGATGCCCCACGCATCCGCAACCTTCCGCCAAACCTCGTCCGACTCATCCGCGCCCCGCAGCCGCTCGTCCGCGGCCCCCGCCTCGCCGCCGCCGCCGCCAGC